TCATATGAGTATCTTAAGGTATACTCATATGAGTATCTTAAGGTATACTCATATGAGTATCTTAAGGTATACTCATTTGAGTATCTCAAGGTATACTCAAATGAGTATCTTAAGGTATACTCATATGAGTATCTTAAAGTATACTCATATGAGTATCTTAAAGTATACTCATATGAGTATCTTAAAGTATACTTATATGAGTATCTTAAGGTATACTCATATGAATATCTTAAGGTATACTCATTTGAGTATCTCAAGGTATACTCAAATGAGTATCTTAAGGTATACTCATATGAGTATCTTAAAGTATACTCATATGAGTATCTTAAAGTATACTCATATGAGTATCTTAAAGTATACTCATATGAGTATCTTAAAGTATACTCATATGAGTATCTTAAAGTATACTCATATGAGTATCTTAAGGTATACTCATATGAGTATCTTAAGGTATACTCATATGAGTATCTTAAGGTATACTCATATGAGTATCTTAAGGTATACTCATATAAGTATCTTAAGATATACTCTTATGAGTATCTTAAGGTATACTCATATGAGTATCTTACGATATACTCTTATGAGTATCTTAAGGGTTACTTATATAAGTATCTTAAAGTAGACTCATATGAGTATCTTAAGGTATACTCATATGAGTATCTTAAGGTATACTCATATGAGTATCTTAAGGTATACTCATATAAGTATCTTAAGATATACTCTTATGAGTATCTTAAGGTATACTCATATGAGTATCTTACGGTATACTCATATGAGTATCTTAAGGTATACTCATATGAGTATCTTAAGGTGTACTCATATGAGTATCTTAAGGTATACTCATATGTTCTTGGTCCTTTAGCAAGAAAAACAAGAGAATATCCGATTTAAAATTAATTAAATAATATTTCGTTCACGAAGGAAAAAACTTGGTAAGAATTGAAATTTATATTAAAATAAGATAAAAAATATCCAAATAACTGTCGAAATAAAATCTATTTAAAAATTATAAATATTAAACTAATTTAAAAATTTTAATATTAAAATCCATTCCAAAGTTTTACTGTGTTTAAAAACCACACAGTATTTCCATTTATTAAAATTTAATCTATCTTTCATAAAGTCTTTAAAATTTCTGTATGAAATTTTCAAACCAAAGTAATCAGGATTAAAAACTTTTAAGTCCTCTTCGTAAAAAATTTTATTTAAAATAAAAATATTAATAAAATCTTCTTTGGAATGCAATTGTTTATATGCATCAGCTTAAAAAATTTAAAAAAGTATATGTGTTATTAATATACTCGTATGCTTATTAAATTCTTAACAATGTACAAAACTTTTAATAATATTTATAAAATGTTTTATTAAGCTAAAAATGAAATAATATTATCCAACCAATATTATATGCATAATATATGTAATAGCAGAAATACGGTACAATATCCAAAGTACACAAATGTGGATTCATACTTTTATGTCCTCCTGTAAGCTGAACAAATTATAAGGAAGAAGAAGCAGTACGCGCTAAACTCCCAGAGTGCCTTAAAAATGCCACTTAAAATTCATATCTTCGTATCAAATTTTAAATCTCTTCCAGAAGTAAAGTAAAGTAAAATACTCGTCGTATGCATATGAGTGTAAAGCCGTAATAAAAATAAGCTCCATAACTTGCCATTATGGCATATGCAGGAGGATTTGGGTTAATAAAAGTTTTGAAAATCACCTTCACAGATTTGAACATAATGGTAAACTCTTTATATTTGGAAGATTGCAAATGTTTATTAACAAAAAGTTGGGTTTAATACAAAATTTTTGAATTTTATAAAATCAATTTTACCTTCTTTTTATGTAGAAATTATTCTAAAAAGCATATGTAGAACATTTATTCAATATTATTGACAAAACTTCAATGCTTTAAGAAATTTGTTAATAATAAATTTAGTTGCTTTCAGGTGTATTCATAGAAAACCAACTGATATGAAATAAAATATGACAGCTTTTGCTAAAGCAATACTAGTCAGGCTATCTATGAATAGTGTAAATTATAAGCGTTTTTATAATTGGATTTTATGATCTTTATTTCAATTTCTTTAACACAATGTAAATTATAAACGTTTTTATAATTGGGTTTTGATTTCATTTAATTTATACAATTGAATTTATACAATTTCGGTTATTGATTGTTTAATCACTTTTTTATGTGTACCCGTGTGTTGACACGTTCGCGATCGAAAAACAAGAGACAGCATCAAACCAACGGAGTTTACTTGCAGCCCAAAAAATATAACAAAAAAATTGCTCATCTCGAGCGCAAAAACAAAAGGCAATAAAAACAAGACTTAGAACCGTTGGTTTGATTACATCTTATACAGGGTTAGTTAGATAAATTAATTAACCATATATATTAACCATATAAAATATTATATATGAATTATATAATATATTAATTATAATAATTTAATTATACAATATATGATTTAAAATAGATTAAAATATAATATATAAATCATATAACACATCAATTATAATAATTCTACAGAATCCTACAATATTAACAATTTGACTTTAACCGCTCTAACATCCCGCCCCCCTTGAAAGGATTTTCAATTGGTAATAGTGCGAGTTTGTGGATTGGACGCCGTATTACTCCTTTTGGGGTTTGCACATCAACAACACGAACCAAATTATCTGGATCCCTGATGCAATGCACGATTCGGCCCATCAACCAGCGTTGTGGAGGCATATTGTCTTCATGGATTAAAACCAGAGCCCCCTCGGTGATGTTAGATTGTTCTTCTGTCCATTTGGTGCGTATCTGCAGCTCATTCAGATAGTCTCTAGACCATCTGCGCCAGAAGTGATGTTTGACTGCGGTTATACGAGACCATTTATCAATTAATGAAGCAGATTCATACTGAGGACTTGGTTCAGATAAAGTTTTGAGCGGCCCACCGATAAGAAAATGTGCTGGCGTTAGCGCTTCATAATCGCTCGGGTCACAAGAATGAGGTGTGATTGGTCGCGAATTTAAGATAGCTTCGATTTCAATCAGTGCTGTTCCAAGCTCCTCAAAGGTGAATCGAGTATTTGATAGTGTTCGATACAGATGGCCTTTCGCGCTTTTTACAGCCGCTTCCCATAGACCTCCAAAGTGAGGTGCTCGGGGCGGTATAAAATTGAAATTTATGAATTGGTTGCTGCAAAAGGTCTGCAGCATCACTTGATTAGACTTCTCGAAAAACATTCTTTTTAACTCTGCTAGTTTATTGTTAGCCCCAACGAAGTTCGTGGCGTTGTCGCAATAGATGTCTGATGGTAACCCTCGTCTACCGATTAACCTTTTCAGTGCTGCAATAAATGCCTCCGTA